CGGGGCGGCCGGGACGGAGGCGCTGAGCCTCTCGTCGCCACCCTCGGGCTTGGACGCCGCGGCGAGCTGGTCCGCGCGCTGCTCCATACAAGCAAGCGCGACTTGGAGGTCGCCATGGACGGTGATGGGGCCACCAGGGCCCGGCATCTTCATCTGGAGATAGGCGTAGTGGACTGCCGCCATGAACTTCACCAACGCGGGTCTCCCCAGGACCGCGTTGTAGGGCAGACTGAGGTCCGCCACATCAAAGTTCACCCGCTCCGTGCGGAAATTGGCGGAACCACCAAAGGTGACCGGGAGGTCGATATGACCTAGCGGCCAAGTGTGCCCCGGCGTCACACCGATGATCGGTTGGGACGGCCGGAGCACCATCCCCGGGGCCTTGATTGCGTCAAAGGCTGCGGGGGAAAGGATGTTGAGGGCTGCACCCCCGTCTATGAGGACACGCCTCAATTTCACATTGCAAATAGTGGGGGAAACCACCATCGCGATCTGTCCTCCCCGGGCAACGCACGGCGGGTGGTCGGTCTGGTCGAAGGTGAGGGCCACCTCCGACCATCGTGCCCGCCGCGTCGCCTCATGGGTAGGGGCCGCGGCCAGAAGCTCTCGCTTCATGGCCTTGAGGCTCCGGCGAGAAGCATGAGCGCACGCTCCCCCATTGACGGTGGCGACAGTGGCCTGAGGCTCCTGGAACCCCAGGTTATCGTCGCCATCGTCGACGTCCTCGGCGGGGGCCTTCTGCTTGGCCTCACCTCGCCGGTTGCCGGCGGGGGCCGCCGGGGCCTTGCCCTCACGGCGCTCCTGCCTCCTCTCCTCCTCCCACTTCCTCGTCCGCTCAGCCAAACTTTTGACCGCGCGGCAGTCCGCGAGATCATGGAGGGAGGTGTTGTGCACGGAGCACCACTTGCCGGTCGGGCGCTCCCTGCTGGGAGCGCCGGCCTCCTTCTTTCTGTCGCTCGCAGGCCTCCCCTTTCGGGTGGCCCGCGAAGCGCCCTCGACGGCGAGGACGTGCCCCTCGTCGTCGAAATAGGCCGACCTCTTCTTCCTCCTCCTGTCCCGCCGCCCTGACCGAGCGGCGGACCCGGGGGCGGCCGGAGCTGCCACACCGGAACCAGAGGAGTTCCAGGTCCAGGCCTCCTCCTTGCGAGCCACACGGTCCGCAAGCTGAAAAAGCTCCGCGGTGGTCTGGGGCTCCTTGGAAGCGATCTTTTCGAGCATGCGATTGTGCCGCACGCCCCCCCTGAACGCGTAGATCACCGCGTGGGCGGGGATGCACGGTATGGTGTTGCGGACTTGACAGAACCGCTGAATGTACGAGTGAAGAGACTCATCGTCCCCTCGCTGTACTGCGTGCAAGTCCGCTTCTTCACCTGGGCGCGGATATGTGCCCTGGAAGTTCATGGTGAACTGCTGGCACAAATCCTCCCAAGAGTGTACCGACGCGGGTGGCAAGTTCATCAGCCAACCCCGCGCCTGACCTTTCAGGGCCATGGGGAAGAAATTCGCCATGACCCTGTCGTCACCCTCGGCGGCCTCAATCCCCGTCGTATAGATCTAGAGAAACTCGGCGGGGTTGACGCTTCCGTCGTATTTTTCGGTGATGGTGGGCCGGAACCTTGGGGGCCAACGGACGTTCCGAAGGCTCGCCACAAAGGCTCGACAGCCGGCACCGCCAACCGGGGACATGGGAGGCTGGCCCCCATGCCCGGACCGAAGTGGCGCTCCGGACGAGGAAGCGCCCTCCGTTGCGTGGGCAGCACGACGACCATTGCGCCGGCGCTCAATATTCAGGCGGGCATCCGGCCCCCCACGCACATCTTCTTGGGTCGGAGGCGTTGACGAGGGAATAGCGGACGAACGGCGGGTAACGGCCGCCGCTCGCCGCACCCTCCGCCTCGACGACACGGAGCCGGTGGTAGCAGCGCCAGAGGCCTTGGGGGCGAAGGACCGCCCACCGGCGCCTAGGCGCTGCTGCGCCGTCATGACCAAGTCGGCCACGTCATCCAGCCAACGTCGAGCTGGAGTCTCTGGATCGGGGACGACGGGCGGGTGACGCAGGAGCGCGCCCGCAGCCTGGAGCGCGCCCTGGGGCGTGCTGCCATCGCCGTAGACGAGGAGGCGACATTCTCCGTCTCGCCGTCCTTTTCCATTACCCGTGGGTGGCGAAATCGCAGATCTTTCGACCCCCTCGAGCGCCTCCTCCCGCCCAAGACTTCGGCGAGAGGGGGACGATGGAGTACGAGCTCGACGGCGCGGGTTCTGCTCCCTGTCGTCACCGCTAGCGCTCAGAGAGAGGTTGTGCGCCACTGCCCGTTCGGCCATTGGGCTGAGCGGGAGAAACTTGGCGCACACGAAAGAGGACGAGGGCTTAGAAAAACACACGCGCCCCCTACCTGGCGCGCCAGATGACGGAGCGTGGGGCTCCTCACCGGGAGACCGCGCAGGCCCCCCCTTTGCCGGTTCGGCCGGGTGCGCTGAGTGAGGTTCTTCACCCTCGATCTGTGGAACGTTCGCGAGAGAGCAAATGCACAAGACACGGGCGATGTATACAGGTTCGGGCCGCTGAGAAGCGTAATACCCTACTCCTGTGTTCTGGTGGATCTGTGTGTGAAGGAGTTACAGAGCAAATGGAGAGCAAGAGAGTTCAAGCTCTAGAACCCCTCTTTTTCCTTCTCTTCTGGTTCCTTTTCTCTCTCCATCTCCTTCTCTCCCCCTTTTAGGTGGGCAAGGTCCTCCTTTTATATCTCAAGGGGATACCACATGCACTACTTCTATCTACTCTTCTTTTGGGTGGGGACCCACCCTATCTTGACCAAATCTTGACTCGCGCCTCCGCCTGGAAGCTAAATCACCGCTTGTCCTTGAGTGATGCCCAGCGCCGTCACTCGTCGGACACAGGGGATCACCCTGTCATTTCTTCATTAATGGGAGGAGATCTTCAATGGCCGCTGTCTGAATGACCCTCCGATGGGATGGGTCATACCTACCTCCACTCCGCCGGAAGCAGATGCAACGTGGGAGCACGGTTGTCTGCCGATGACGTGACCGGCGTCAGTCCAGTCACAGACCGGTCATTCTTCTCCACCACGTGTCAGTTTAGCATGCCGCACATCTGCCCTTCTTCATACAGTGACTTCCTTGCAATGGTTGCGATGAAGCCTGGCATGAATCGAGCCGGGACTGACGTGCTAACTCCAGGAGTTACCACGCCGGCTCCAGCTAGGGACGAGTGCCAAGAGGCTCTCATCATTCCGACGGGACGGGGCGAGGCGTGTGACAGGCCGCCTGCTGCCACCTAACCCGCGATCTGACCGGTCACACACTGCGACCGGTCACGGACCGGATATGCGTGCGCCGTGCTGCATTAAATGCGGCGTGGCGCGCTTGTCCATTCCGCAATAAATGTGGTTTGGTGAGCGCCGCTGTGCCCACCTAACCCACACATGTGGCGCCAATACCACAGGGTGTCAGGGCGCCCCAGCCCTCGGGGCCGAAACAGGAGCAGCCCGACCCCTCGGGGAGACAGAGGAGGGGGTGGGCACGTCTCCCTCGGGCCCGACCCCCCCGAGGGAGTCAGGCCACGTGGGTGACCGCGGCTGCCCAAGCCTCTAGTCATGATACTCCCGGTCCCATGTCACCGACACTGGATATCTGGTTTTATTGTTGGAGGACGATTTTGTAACTCCATGACAAGTTGGGGGACCTTCGGTGTACTTTTTCCTCCCGTCAAACTGGTATGGGCCGACGACCCCATTAGAGGAGGAACCGAGGAAGAGAAGAAGGGGAAGATAGATGACTCAGCCTGATATGTGGGACCCACGTGGGTCCCACGCTGAATCAGCCGTCACGTAGGACAAAACCGGTGTCAAAACCACCAAAAGATCTATTGTGGCCGGTTTTTATTAGTTAAGGGACGCTGGATATCTGGTTTTATTGTTGGAGGACGATTTTGTAGCTCCATGACAAGTTGGGGGACCTTCGGTGTACTTTTTCCTCCCGTCAAACTGGTATGGGCCGACAACCCCATTTCATGGGCCTGACAAAAATTACGCCGTGTACAAATAGGGGTGTCATAGGGACTACGGCTTGTTTTAGCACCAATTGGTACGAGTAACAAAATGGGAGTTTAAATAAGGGGAATTGGTGGTGGATTTATAGCCAATTTATAGTTTATTCAAGGGAAAACTTTACTGTTATCTTGCATGATTGTGTTCCAAAATAGAGGGTCTATATTATCTTTTTTAGAAACATGATAAAAAAAGCACATGGGTTCACATACTTGCGCACGCACTCACATGTATGAACACGCACATGCACATCCTACGCATGTAAGCATATCTGAGGGATTGGACCAATATAGTTTAGCATTGATAAAATCACCACATATGCCTCTATGTCGTTTGGTATGTCACTTACTTTTAAAAAAATAATTAGCTGTAAATGTAACCACTTGTTGCAAACGTACATCTTAAATTTGATGGATAATCTCGGTCACAAGGAACTTAATAACTTCAGTCGAGTTATTCTCACTTCGTTTATATTCATTTCGTTTCATTTGAATGAAAGTAGAATTGAAGAACCCATCCCATAAAGGCAAGTTTTTAATGTTAGAGAGAGAGAGAATTCACATTCAGATAACCAGTAGTACGTGTAAGCGATTCAGACATTTTATCACCTGATACAGATCTCTTCAGTACCACTAACAGTAGTAAACCTGTAGGCAGTCAAACTAATCAAGGCTAAGCCGGTTAAAAACAAGAAAACCAATCGCCAATAATTTTGCCCTTCAAAATAATCGATCGAAAAGTTGACACTTGACAATCAATTAGTAATCAAATGCCCTCATCCAACAGGAACCTCTAGCAGTGTACTTCTCACGACTGACGATTAATTTCCATCGTCTTCAACCCCTCATATCCATCTTTATTCTCACTCGTGATCTCCTTTATTTCTTTCAGCATCAGGCCATCAAAGCAGCTAGCTTAACTACCCTCATGGACGATGTCCATGTCTCATTCTCACTCATAATTCCTCCATCTCCTCTTTCCTCTCTCTCATCCTTTTCGCCTTCCTCCCTTTCTCCCGGCCTTATCTTGTTCTTGTACTCTTTGCTCTCTACACATACATTTCATCAGTGTTTCACTACACAAACTGCAGGATTTGTGTTCAGCTAAGCTAGATATCGATCGATCGATCGATCGCAGTGAAGTGGTAGAGAGAGAGAGAGATGCAGGACTGGGCGCCGGTGGTGGTGGGAGTGGTGCTGTTCGTGGTGCTGTCGCCGGGGCTGCTGATCGAGCTGCCGGGGACGCACCGGTGGGTCGACTTCGGCAGCCTCCGCGTCACCGGCAAGTCCGCCGTCGTCCACACCATCGTCTTCTTCGTCCTCTTCGCCATCGTCGTCGTCGCGTGCAAGCTCCACATCTACACCGGCGCGTAGCGCGGCCCCAGCCAGGCCATGCCAAGATTGCTTTGGGCAGCTCACTCGCATTCGTCTCTACGCCGACCTTGTTCGTTAGTCTCTCTGCTGATTCGGTTGGATCTTATTGTCGATGGAATACTTGGTGTGCAATGCTCGGCACGTTTAGTTGATACGTGTGCTGCAGGTTATTTAGAGTTTTAGCTATAAGTGATTTGGTCGATCGTGTCTATGGAACATATCGTCTTAAGTTCGGCATCTCATTTTCGTCCTGTCTATAACTGTCTATGAAACATACCGTGTTCTCTAGTAGTTTTCTTTTCTACTATGCATACGTTTTCTACTATGCATAGTTTCATCTTGCGTTTGCGTCTTAAGTTTTCTCACAGACCATTAATTTCATGCGAGGGTAAAAAGTTCGCTCAGAATGGAAAACCCAATCGATCAGATATTCCGATATTACTACAATACAAAGTAACATTCACTTCAAATCTGAAACTTGAGCACCAATTTTAATCATACGTTTCAAAGCAACATCCCTTATAGCATCTCCAACAGATTATACAAATCATACTCTCCAAATACCCATATAACCAACTATCCAATTAATTTGGCAAACCAAACTCATGGCTCACTCCAACAAAAATCTCTCCATCTATCCTCTCTACTCTGAGTCTTTGATATTGAGGCCCATGTCAGGCTCTACTATTCCTTCTTCTTCCTCATCTTTTTCCCCTCTTCCTTTTCTTCCACTGGGACTATCCCCGAGCTCCTCCCCATCCCTCTCCCTCTCTGCGTCCGAGGCGGGGTGGCCAACACTGATGAAAGGAAGGTCATCGATGGGCATAGTGGCGCTCAAGCTCGTTGCCGCCCTCTCGTCTACCCCCAATCCCGTCGTTGCCACGGGCTTCCTTCGCGTTGAAGGATGGTGAGGTGGCAGAAATCAACGCCGGGAGAAGACGGCGGTGGTCCCTAAGTCTACACTACTAGCCAAATCCGCGTGGGGGCAGAGATGGTCTAGAGGCCGCGTAGGGGCGGAGGTGATGGAGGCCATATCGGTGAGGAGGCGCTCGAAGGCCGCAGCAGCAGAGTCGGGGGAGATGCGTGGGATGTGGCCCTGACGACGTAGCAGTAGACGACAATGGTGGAGGCAGCCTCGTTGGGGCAACGTCGAGTGGGAGACCACGACGGCGAGAAGGCCTGCGGAGGACGCGACGACGGAGTAGAGGGGGAAGCGCTGGATGTGGCGCTAATAACAGCAGCGGCAGACGACAATGACGATGACGGCAGCGGCGACTTCATTAGCGCGACGGCGAGCTGGAGGCCACTGTGGCGTGGAGGTGTGCGGTAGCAATATGCAGTGGGACCCACGGATGGCAAGTGGAGTACGTTGACAAAGTTTGGCCATTGAGGGAAGGAGTTTGGTCAACCGAATGGCTTGTGGAGTAGGACGAAGAGGCTATTGGAGTGCAACTTTTATTCATAATTGCAAAATTTTGGTTTGGAGAGTGTGATGGAGAGTTTGTTGGAGATGTTCTTAATAGTACGGCTCTCGTCAGGCCGTTCTCGATGGGTTCTAGTCGGTAATCTAGATAGGTTCTATTGTTCCTCTATTGTAATCTCTATGGTTTTTGTCCATATTTTTATATAAATCTGTTGACGAAAAAATCGAACACACCGGCCTGGGAGATCTGCTTAGCTCCAGTGCAGGTTCAAATATGATGAGATGCGGGCGTGTCAGTCAGTTTGATCCTGCAACTGACAAGATATGTAAACAGTAGATCAAACAGCCGATCGGCTGACAAGCCGATTGAGTGGTTCCAGCCGATAGTTGATAATAGCCGATGCCGATACCAGCCGATAGCAATAGGGTTTAAGCAATCGGCTATATGTCCAATGTAGATGATGATATAAAGGCAATCGGCTGTTGATAATAAAATATAACAATAATATAGTCCAGTATAAACCAATTGGCTAGCATTGTTATGACAGAATAAGCACCGATCCGAAGGTTAAAGCATACATCGGCTGGAGGTCCGATGTCATTAAATCCACAATATTAGATTAACATTGAAACCTTTGTTGCGATCGGCTAAATCCAATATGTACGTATATGCAATCCTTACAAGCCGATGCAACGTCCAGATAACTCATCGGCTAAAACCCCGACGAAACCCTTATTGGCAGTCAAGAAGCACGCTAGAGATTATGGTTCTAAGCACGACTTAGTAGATCAAACTCAACTAATGCAGCACTAAGTATGAAAAGAAACATAATATCTAGACAATCAAGCCGTTGACTGAGTTTTCAGGGTGGTAGATGCCTAAGCTAATCTAATCTAGCAAGGCGATTTAGCCGATACCGGCAAAAACCCTAAAACAAGAGACAGCCGATAGAGCTAAATTGAGATGCTAAGACTAGATTAACATAGACATATGATAAATAGGTAGGCAAATATATCATCCAAACCAGAGTAATCCAAGAGGCCAAATGTACTGATGCAGCCTTGAACGACGCCGACGTAGACGATACAATTGCCTGGGCCGGTGGAGCATTGGACTTACCCCTTAGCCGGAGATCGAACACCGATGCAGCCCCGCGTCAGGTGCCAAGTCCCGCCGGACGATAAAATAAAGTAAAAAAAGGTAAAAGGTGGCGATGCGCCGAATTGTATTGATCGTGGAGATAGATTACATAGACCCCGGGTGTACATATTTATACCCATGGGTTGATACAAGTTCTTGTCGGACAAGAAAGAAACTTTCCTAAAGATAAAAGGAAAACATAAAGTCCCTATCGGACACTAAACACACTTTCCTAAAGATAAAAAGAAACTAACAAACTATTCCTAATTAATAGATAACTTGCCATGCCGCATTTTCTTTGAACTCGGTCTCTTCTGGATAAGCTTCCTTTAGTAGATCAATTTCCTTAACCGAATATAGCAAGAATCTGACAACTGGCGACTTGACAACTCTCATCAGCTAATCTCAGGACTTCGAAGCCGATGCTGACTATAAGCCGATGACTACTCCGGGCTTACCAAATTTCACTGCTAACAAAATCGTAGTATGGGTATTACCTTTTGAGGGGTCCGAACTAGTATAATCCTTGACTTTTGTGTGCTTGATGCATTTTCGTGTAGATCCTAGTACCAACGTATCCTAATACCCTCATAATACGGTCGACACATAGCGAGAGGGAGCGGCTATTGGCGGCATCGGGTCGTGGGTAGTTGTAACTCTGATACGATGTAATATGCTGGATCGGGAGGAGCACCTGTAATCAGAGCCTCTAGAGATGTAGACTACGGCTGAACCTTGTTAGCAAATATCATGCCTCGGTATCTTCATCGTGTTTGGATCTCCAATGCCGTCTCTTTCGTTTGGTTTTCGATGTGCTATCGAGACCGGTTTTATAACATTTCTTTGGACTTTAAGTGCCAAGTCAGCAGCATGTAGGCTAAAACCGTTGTCCAAACCGTCTTGACACCTTATTTGCAGGTTTAAGGAGTTGAGAGGACGCGTCATGTTTGATATTGCGGTGCAGGGACGAATTTCAGACTCGGCAGCAAATTAAGGGACCTCAAGTGAACTTATTCCTTTTCAGAAAGAAAAGGAAAAAAAAGAAGATGGAGTAGTATTCTGGCCGTAGTTGGGCAGGGCTTGACAACCGATACGAATCCAGCAGTGGCGCGCACACACCCCCCGAGCCCTAATCCCCAAATCCGGCGCTTCTGCTTCTCGCCGATTCGCCCATGGCCCAACCCGCTACCTCCTCCCGGAGCTCCGGCGACTTCCCGGCCGACTGGGTCTTCCTCGACACCGTCGCGCACGCCGGCCGCTGCCGCCGCGACAACGCGACCACCACCACCGCTCGGGCGAGGTCGAGCGACGGCCACCCCATCGAGGTCTCCTTCGCGCTCGCCGATCCGCCTGCGCTCACCCGCTGCCTCGTCCACTGCCCCGCCGGCCTGACGGCGGGCGAGTTCTCCAGGTCGCCGCCCTCCGTCGCCGCCTCGGACGGCGCCTTCCTCCTCCTCCGAGTCGTCTTCCCCCACCGCTCCGACCGATGCATGGCCACCGACTGGTTCGTCTACAGGCAGCCGGGCCCGGCCGGGGCGCCGCCGCCGTCTCTCGAGCTCCTGGTCCAGCGCCCCAACCCGCTCGACGTCGTGTCCAGGCACGCCGGCGTCTTGTCCCGTGGCGACCACTGCCTCGTCGTCGACCCCGAATGGGGATTCCACGACGACGACGACGACGACGGTGATGATCGCCGGATGAAGCTCCAGTTCCACCTGCATATCTTCTCGAGCAAGACCAAGCGGTTGTCGCGAATCTGGGCCGCGGCGCCATGGAGGCGTTCGACCCTTTCTTCTTCCCCACCAAGGTGTTGCGCGTCGTCCGAGGAGGATCAATGGCCTGGGTCGATTTCCGGAACAGCATCCTACTGTTCGACTCGGTCCCCGGGGACTCCCCCGAGGTGAGCCTGATCCGTCTGCCGCCATTGATGCCCATCAACAACGTGGACTCAGGCAGCCCCGATGGACCTTGCGTGGATCATGTCCGTGATGTCACCTGCAGGAATGATGGCTGGTTCAAGTTCATCGAGATGGGATTCCCGCACCTGGATCCTAACGATGCGCGGTTGAACCGTGGATGGGAGGCCACCATGTTCAAGAGGAGGATCATCCGTTCAGATGATGATTGTTATTGGCAATGGGAGCCGTGCGGCACTGTCGACTCTGCTAGCCTCCTCTTGCCTGCAGCCGACTCGTGTGTTCCTGATTGCTTGTTTCCTGAGATCTTTGACTACGAGGAGCGCAAGCTTGCCCTGAACAATGTTTTGAGCTCATTCCCCACATTGGATCTGTACCGTGACGATGTTGTTTACATGATGACCAAGATCAAGGATGATGATCCAGACGGTTGGATCATTGCTGTCAACACTGAGAGCAAGAGGCTGGAGGGAATATCGCCCTTTTCGCAAGAAAGTTATCATCTCCATCGCATCTACCAGCAATGTGACTTCTCCAAGCACCTGATCAACAAGGCTCTAGGTAATCTTCTCTATATGCTTTCCAGTAAAGATGCAAAACCATATGTTAATTCTTCGCTAGTTTAATTACTGGGAGCATTTTGAAGTAAAGAAGCGTGTGCAATGGTACCAAATTAGTACTTCTGATTTCATGGATTTTTGTTTTGTATATACATTTTGTGGTGTATTACTGAAAAAAACTGCATCTGCTTTATATTGCAAATGTGTTGTCTAACAGTTCTTCTATGCCCTTACTTTCTTAGGGACTCACTTGGCCAAGGATATGGATAAATTAATGGACCAACAGGTAATTTGTAGCTG